GCTGCCGGGCTCTGCCATCTGCTGCCAGCGCCGCACGTGGCACCGCGGGCACGTGCGGGGACCGGGACCGGTTTTATGGGAAGCGCTGGGAAACCTGTCAGTCCGGGGAGCATCCCCAGGGAGCATCCGCTCATGCCGTTGCTTGGACCCTGCGCTGCATCCCATGCCCCAGCGAGGGCAAAACCACACAGCTAAAAACCTAAAAAATGCTAAATGCTAAAACACGTCAGAACAACCCAGTGTTGGTGCCTGGAGCCCTCTGTGCAGCCAGGACGCACCGGTTGCTGTTAGGATGCAGAAGGGCTGTGGTGATGCAGCAAACGGAAAGGCAACCCTTGGCTAAAACGAGGCGGCCCCGTAAGAGGATTAATGGGAGATAAGCCGCAATAAAATAAAATTTGGAGCGCTTTCGCCTCCCTTGGCATTTCGCTAAAAAATGCTAAATGCTAAAATGCATCGGAATAACCCAGTGTTGGCACCCGGAGCCCTCCGTGCAGCCAGGATGCACCGGTCGCTGTTAGGATGCAGAAGGGCTGTGGGGATGCAGCAAACGGAAAGGCAACCCTTGGCTAAAACGAGGCGGCCCCGTAAGAGGATTAATGGGAGATAAGCCGCAATAAAATAAAATTTGGAGCGCTTTCCCCTCCCTTGGCATTTGAGCTCCCGTGCGCTGTTTGCTCCCTTGCAAAAAGCAGCAGCCACCCTGAGCCCTCGACAGCCTCATGCCCAGCACCGGGAACGGCATCCTGGGCACTCCAGCACCGGGAATGGCATCCTGGGCACTCCAGCACCAGGAATGGCATCCTGGGCACTCCAGCCCCAGGACAGCTCGGTCTCCGCACAGCCGGAGCAGCCGGGAGGCCGCAGAGCGCCCCACTCGCCCCACCAGTGCTGCTCACCATTTGCTTTTCCTTTTTCTTGTTTTTTTTTTTTCTCCTCTTTTCCCTCTCCCTTGCACCAATTTATCTTTTTGACACGTTCAATGATGCTCCTGCAGACTGAAAACAATAGAGACAGAGTTGCAGCCAAGGCAATTGCTGAGCTGAATCGAAGCTAAAATAACCTGGGCGAAGAGCAGCTGAGGGATGGAAATGCCCCAGCGGGCAGGAGGGGGCAGCGAGGGTCCCCTCCTCTTCCTCCTCCTCCTCTTCCTCTTCCTCCCCATATCCCCTTTCCCGGCTCCCCTGCACAAAGCAACGAGTCCCACAGCGGCTCTGCCCCACATTTCCCCTTCTGTAAGTGCAAAGCGGGATGCGCAGATCCCGCCGGCCCCGCTCGCTCCGGCTCGGAGCCGGAAAAAAACGGCCGCCCCGCTCCTTGCCCCGCAGATCAACACGGCTTTGCTTTCCCGACGAGCATGGGCCCGTTGCCATCCCCGCGATAGCTCACGCGGACACGGACCCGATGGCCCCCGGGCTCCAAAGCGCTGCCCACTCGCACCCACCGGGGCTCCGGCAACAGCAGGACCCAGCGAAGCGTCACCCGCTCCAGCTACAACGCGACACCGCACACCCGGTCCCCACGCCAGTGCAGGGGGTCCTTCCCCATTTGGACAAGAGCATCTGCATGACTCCCACAGGAGACGGGGACCGGAGGAGGCATCTCCCCCTGTTCCTTGTGGTGCTGGGGCAGAGCAAGAGCTGGGAAAATCTTCTCCCTTATTATTATGGAGATTTTTTTTTTTTCACTTGGCTGTCCAGATTCAATGGGGACCCGAGGAGGCATCTCCCCTTGTTCCTTGCGGTGCTGAGGCAGAGCAAGAGCTGGGAAAAGCTTCTCCCTTATTATTATGGAGATATTTTTTTCACTTGGCTGTCCAGATTCAAAGCCTTCTGTTAGCCTGTAAAAAAGGTAATCAGAACAACAACGGGAAAGGAACGGACGGCGCTCAGCAGACGTGCCAGTTGGTCCTTAATACCTCCTGGCTGCCAAGCAGCTCGCTGTCACGGGGCGACGGCGCTTATGGATTCTGCTAACAGCGCGAGGACGGAGCCGTGAATCCATCCTGGAAAAGCGCAGGGTTGGCAGCGATTGCTTGTGTGCAGGAAGGATCTGGCCTGGAGGGATACCGGGATGGACGAATCCCCCTGGCAGATGTGGGGAGAAGCCACGAAACACTCGGGGCAGAATGAAGCCCTCTGGCAGCTACAGCAATGCAGACAACGTAGTCAACCTTGGTTAGGGATCCATCCTCACGTCCCTGTACCTGAACGGGCTGCGGGAGCAAACACAGCCCTGGGATGGACCGGGATGGCCAAAGCTGTGGCCAGGTATTGCCTTCCTACCAGTCCTACACAGCAGAGCACCAGCAGCCAGAAGGCCATCAAGAAGGATGGAGGCCACCAGGCCACCAACACGATGGGCACTGCAGCAAGATCAGCCCTGGTCACCCCAAAACTCTTCCCGCTCAGGGATGTGTCCGCCTGGCAGAGG